CGCTGAACTCACCAGAATGACGAGGTCTCTTGTCATACCCCTGACCTCCCTGAGTAAGAACCATTTGGACTCGTCTGACGACATTAGCAGCCGCCTGAAAAGAAATCTCACTCCTAGCCTCCTTAGCCATCTGCAATCTGATAGGCTGAGCAAGTCCATCAATAAACCTCCTCACCCTCTCTCTCTCTCTCGATGGGAAGCAGAAGAATGGCATGACGGGCCAAATCCACAAACGGGTCTTATACTGAGTAACAGTCATACTGCCCTGCTGGAGACACTCAAACTGACGACGACGCTCCTCTCTCAATGTGATAGGAAGAAACTTCTCTATGAAGAGCTGAGAGAACTGGTCCCAAGTAAGAGCAGGCGACCCAGCTGGTCTGGTCAACAAGTAATCTCTCCACCATTTCTTGGCGGAACCAGTCATTTGAAATGCAGCAAAATCGACCCCATTGGTCTTCACTATACCCATGTTTCGTGGAACCTCGTGACAGCTGTCAAGATACTCCTGGGGATCCTCTGAAGGAGCACTAGTGAAGTAAACAGGAAAGAGCTTGGTAAACCTCTCCAATCTCCATAAAGCCTTAAAAGATATAGCTGGCCCATCTCCGACCTGTGCCGCAATAACCGGCTGAACTAATCCGACTGGCTGAGCTGCTGGAACCTGATACTGGGGAGCTATCTGCTCCGGAGCGGGAGTGGTGGGAGTTTGGGCTCCTCCTCTAGCCTAAGAGACTGCTGGTGCCATGGGAAATGCGCTAGTCTAGGACGCACTCTCCATAAGGCCCACCAAACGGACCAAAGCGTCCTGAAGTACTGGGGTGGAAATGAACCCCTCCGGAACCTGAGTTGGTCCGGTAGGAACAGTCTGTGCTGGAACCTTCTCGTCAAGTTCTATCTAAGGCTCCACTGCTGGGGCTACTGCTGGGGCTCTAGGCTCCCCCCTGCCTCTGTCTCGGCCTCTGACACAGCCTCGACCTCTGCCCCGCGTAAGAGCTGTCACTGGAGGCTCTGGCTGCTGCTCAGCTGAGGAAGCGGTACGTGTTCTCGCCATCTGCGAGATAATAAGAGTAGAAGAGTTCAATCAGTATTGAGAAAGCAAAATCGCACGATAGAGAAGAATAGATGTGAAACTTGTTCCTAAACTTCATAGCCTCTGGAAGATAAGCATAGACGTCTCTGTACCGATCCTCCAGACTCTACTAAGCTTGCTCGTGAATCGTGAGACCTAGGCAACCTAGTGCTCTGATACCAACTGTCACGACCCGAAATTTTCCACCGACGAGACCGTGATGGCGCCTAACATTTCACTTGCTAGGCAAGCCAACGTTAGAAAATCGTTAAACCAATTCCTTATTTCTATTCAGTAAATAATAATAATTAACTAAGATGAAATATAATAAGTACGAAATATTATAAAACTGTATTAATTACTACCACTCGGATCTGGAGTCAGCATTTACGAGCATTCTAAAATTTACTACAAGTAATAGTCTCAAAGAAATACAACTCTCTGAACGAAAGAAATAGTATAACAGAAAGGATAGACGGGGATTTCAAGGTCTGTGAACGCCGACGGATCTACGTTGAGTCTCTGGACAGCGGACCAACAGCAAAATCTCGATCAACCCGAGCCGGTATTAAAATCTGCACAGAAAGTGCAGAGTGCAGTATCAGTACAACCGACCCCATGTACTGGTAAGTGTCGAGCCTAACCTCGATGAAGTAGTGACGAGGCTAAGGCAAGGTACCTACATATCAACCTGTACAATTCAACAATGTATATGCAAATAACAGAAATGAAGAACTAAACAGGAAATGTCGGGAGGGGAACATACTGAGGGGAATACAAGATAAAGAACTACAACAGAATGATCACCGGAGCAGTCAATATACCATGAATCAATAGGAATAGTGAATACAGTAAAGAAAAAATGCACGGCATCACCCTTCGTGCTTTTACTCTCAATCTCACCATAAAATTAATAGAAACGACANTGTGAACATGATAAGAATGATAAATTGAACAACACTAGTATAACACATAGCAATTGGGCATAGGAATGGGACAATATAAGAATAACAGAGAAACATGGAAAATAGGTAAATTGGTGGCGCATAAGTACTCGTCACCTCACATATATGCCGCTCACATGAATTTCACTTAGCAAGTAATCTAAGGTTCCTAATTCCCTCAAGTCAAGGTTAGACACAGCACTTACCTCGCTCCGAAGGCCACTTAATTCTCTATCATAGCTTTTCCTTTGGAATTTACCTCTAAACCACTCGTATCTATTCAAAAATGACTCAATAATATCAAATATTGCTAAAGAAATCAATTATATTGCATAAATTAAATTTCCCAAATTTTCCTCCAAAAAGTCGAAAAATCAACCCCGGGCCCGCTTGGTCAAAACCCGAGGTTCGGACCAAAATCTATTTACCCATTCATCCCCGAGCCCGAATATATTATTGGTTCTGGAATCCGACCTCAAATTGAGGTCTAAATCCCCAAATTCCCGAAATTCCTAGTTTCTACCCTAACCCCTAATTCTACCATGAAAACTCTAGATTTTAGGTTGAAAATTCAAGAAATGTAATAGGTAATTGAAAGGAAATGATTTAGAATCACTTACCAATAATTTGGGGAAGAAATGGCTCTTGAAAAATCGCCTCTCACCGTTTGGTTTTTGAGAAAATGAATTTTTGGCTAAAATCCCATTTTTGGATTCTGTTAAGTGCTGGGCGACAGTGTTTATCGCGTTCGCTAGAGCACTGTCGCGTTCGCGAAAGGTACTGGCTGGCAAGCTTTCACGTTCACGAGACCCAGCTCGCGTTCGCGATGGTTACTCCTCCCTGGCCTTCGCGTTTGCGAGGCATTGCTCGCGTTCGCGATGAAGGAACGACTGACTCCCCCTCCCCAATGCCTAACACTACGCGTTCGCGATGGGCTTATCATGTTCGCGAAGGGTAACGCCCCCATCGCTTCGTGTTCGCGACCAAGCCTTCGCGTTCGCGAAGAAGAAATTCCTCCCTCATCAGTTTACTCTTCGCGAACGCGAAGGACATGCCAGAACACCTGCTGCAGCAAAATACCAGATTTTTAAAGTCCAAAACATTCCGTGGCCTATCCGAAACTCACCCGAGCCCTCGGGGCTCCAATTCAAACATGCACACAAGTCTAAAAACATCATACGAACTTGCTCGCGCGATCAAATCGCCACTACGAATTTAGCACCAAATCAAATGAAATTCTCAAGAACACTTTAAAATTTCTATTTTCTCAACTGGACGTCCGAATCACGTCAAATCAACTCCGTTTCTCACCAAATTTCACAGACAAGTCTTAAATATCATAATGAACATGTACCGAGCTCCGGAATCAAAATACGGACCCGACACTAACAATGCCAAACATCAATCAATTCTTAAAAATAATTAATTTTCAGACTTTTGATTTTCATCAAAAATTCATAACTTGAGTTAGGGACCTCCGAATTCGATTCCGGGCATACGCCCATGTCCCACAATTCGATACGGACCTACCGGGACCATCAAAGTACGGATCCGGGCCCGTTTACCAAAACTATTGACTGAAGTCAACTAAAATCAACTTTTAAGGCAAAAATTCTTATTTTCATCAATTTTCAACATAAAATCTTTTCGAAAACCTGTTCGGACTGCACACGCAAATCGAGAAGGGTAAAAATGAGATTTTTAAGGCTTAAGAGCGCAGATTCGAGTTCTAAAACATAGGATGACCTTTTGGGTCATCACACTTCTACATTATCTTTGCCTGATCAGACACAAGTCGTTGTTTGCCAAAGATGGGTAGTTCCTCCACGAAATGACTATGAGGAAGAAGAAAGCGAAGTTGAGCATTTTGCTTCTGTTCTTGAAGTTGAAATTGAAGATTGGCGATAACCATTAATCGATTATCTTTGTTATGGGATATTGCCCAAAAATCCCCGTAGGAAAACAGAAATCCGATGGAGAGCCCCTCGTTTTCTTTATTATAAGAATACACTCTACATACAATCATTTGATGGAGTGCTCCTATGTTATTTGGGGGCTCATGAATCCCTTCAAGCCCTGCAAGAAGCACACTCTGGAGTATGTGGTGCGCATCAATCTGGGCCAAAATTTTATTTTCATATAAAAAGAATGGGGTATTATTGGCCAACCATAGTGAAAGATTGTTTAGATTACGTTTGGAGGTGTAAAGCTTGCCAATTCCATACTAACTTCATACATCAACCACCTGAAGTATTATTGGCGCGTGTAAAATACTTCATATTATGAGACTGGTATTAGTGTTTCGGGGGAAAAATAATTCATTCCAAATATGTTTAGGGGGTAAAAGAATATCCATTTAGTTTAAGTGTTCAAACCTTTTTTTGGACAAGTTTAATGGGGTGTATATGTATTTTGCCAATTTAATATAAAAATGTCTACCTTTAATGTAAAAAAAACGTGATGGAAATAAACATGATAGCTATTTTTACATTTTATTATTGAAAAGGTTAAAGTTGTTCGATCCTTGAACAAGATGGCGTAGAAGTGTCAGTTTCAAATTTCAGGGTCTAAGTGAGTATTTAATCCCCTAACTTATTTACTTGGATTAACCTATCTTGTTTCTTTTCTTCTTCTTTTTGATCCCATACAAATAACAATCTCGTCGCCGCTGCTGTCCCCGCCGTCCGCCGTCCTCCTTGGTGTTGGTGGATTACTGCCGGCGTTCAATTTTTCTCTAATTTGGTGAAGGTCAGTTCACTACAGTTGCCTATTATGCCCCCAAGAATATAGTGTTTAAATGTGTTTTGTCTTTTTATGCTTTATCATAAAATTTTCTTTTTTGGGCGCTGTAAATTTTATGGAAGCTTCAAAATCTGTTGTTTCTGTTTGTATTTTTTTTTTTTTTTTTTTTTTTTTTTTGTGATTAATTCTTTGGAATAATTTATGATAGTTACTATTTTGCTGGTTTTAGATAATGGTAGTCTTTCATGGTTCACTTAATTGTTGTTAACCAGTGATAATTTAAGGGATCAAAGTTTTAATCTTTTTTGGAAAGAAAAATATAGAGATAATAGACACAGTAATATCATGCATTTAATGCCCGTGAACCAATTTCTCATAATTATAGAGATAATAGACACAGTGATATCATGCATGCATTTGGTAAGAGGGACATGACCATTTCTCATAATTATTATAGAGATAATAGACACAGTAATATCATGCATGCATTTGGTAAGAGGTTAAAAAGGACTACCATTTCTCATAATCATAAGAGAGATGTTGGAAATTAATTCTTTGTATTTGAGGACCATGTTTTTGAAGAGGTGGAGTCAGCCCTATCAATTGCTTGGGTGATGTTTCTTTTGCAACATAGTCTAGTTTTTTTTTAGAAAGGAACTTAGAATTATTAATCTTTGTCAAGTTTCTGAAAATTTCAGCTTCTAAGTACGTTCTGCGGAGAAGTATAGTTCTTTCAGAAATAATTCGATAGATTAGGATGTTGTACCAGTTCATTCTGCAGTAGTGTTCTTTTCTTTTGCAAGTAAGCTCTATTTTTTACCAGATGGCTTCACTGGAAGAAAGTTTGCAGAGGTTCAAGAAGCAGCAGAAGAAGTGCCAATCTACACTTAGAGTATAGCTACCCTCGATCTCCTATTTTCTTTTAGCAATTTCATATTTTTTTCTTGAATCTTCATCTTTGTAATGGCTTTTGCAGAGTTTTGTCATTGTTTACCTTGTTTTGCTTATGTGCATCTTGTATCCATGTATATACCTTTATCAACTTAGAAGAAATGTGTGAATATGAGTATTGCGTTAAAATTGGATCTCGGTGATGTCACTTTGAGGGTAAGTTGTATTTTCTATCTTTTCTGCTTGCAGAGTGAAATTTCAGGGTCAAGTTAATTTCTCATGCCTACGTTTAATCTCATGATATATGGCATATGCAACTCCTATATGTCTGAAGAAATTCTTGTACGTATCACTTCAACATTCCTTCTTAAAGACTTGCAACTTTCTTTGCTTAGCAAATAATTCCCTTCTTTATCGCCTCATTTGTTCCTTCATCTTTTCATTCTTGTGTGTGGAGGTGGATTTGGGGTTGATAGGGTTGCAGGATTTTCCATTTGGACACCTATGCCCTTGGAAGATTGTAGGTTTGAGGTGTTTAGCTGGGTAATAAGTACTTTAAGTCCTTGTTTGTCAAAAAGCAAAAAGAAAAAAGTTGTTTAGATATCCTGCAATCCCATTCTCTGAAGATTGGGCTTCTTAAAATCTGTCTGCTGGACTTTCATGTACTAGTTTGATTTATAGATCAGCAAGAATGGTGCTGCTCTCTTCAGTTTATGCTTGAGAATGTGATAATCCTTAATCTCTGGCAGTATGACTGGTGCCTGTGCCGTCTACTTGTTAAGATAAGAAACTAATTGCATGATATGTGCTTTTGTCTGGATAGACAGTATTATATGGCTTTTGAATCAGTAGTATTAGGGTAACTGAGCCCTAATGGTTGATAGGAAGCCCCATGTCTGTGGATTGGCAGTTTGACACTTTTGGGCTTAGCAGAAAGTAGAGCCATATTCCCCAATGAAGGGTGGCTAGTTGTGATGCAGCGGCTTAAGATGCTCAGTATCCTTTTACTTCAGTTGCAGTCGTTCCGTTCCAATATCTTCTAACACAAGTTAAGGGTTCCTAAAACTACGAATTCTATTCCTACACGTAATACAACTCTCTAACCAAACTAAAAGGGCTCCCGTCAAAAATTGGACGTAATGTAACTTACCAACAACTGTAAGGTATTTGCTTCCACTATGTTCTATTCTTCGTTTCCGCATGAATTCCAAGAGATTGTCGGTCTTTGGAAATAACATTCTTCCATGTAATTTTAGGTCAACCCCATTTTCATGGTATCACACTTGCGAATAGGTGCAGTCACGTAGGACATGATCAAACCATCTTGGACGACCTTTCTCTCTTTTTGTTCTCTTCTTGTGCTATTTGCACTTTCTGACAGATGATTTTGTCTAATCTTGTATTGTCACACTTCTTTTATTTTTCTTTTTTAAATATTCACATTTCTATGTCATTCATCTTGTGGATATAGTGGCCTTAGTGCCCTAGCATTCATTCTCATAATTTTGGTTCTGCAACCGTCCTATTGAACTTACCTTTCACTTTAATAGGTATCCTCTTATTGTAGTATCTCGTAGCACTCCATTTCAGCTTTCTATTATATCTGTCTCATCTCGATACTGACTTCAATTAATTGCTTGCGACCTGATCAGCTACTCTAGTTTAAGCTCATTCTCCTTGGCTGTAATTTTATGGAGAACTAAATACCTTCTTCTGATTGCTACTGGAGTAACTAGGTTCATTGGAACTTCTTTGATTGATGGTGTAGGTTGGTTTTGTATTACCTTATTGATAGGGATGGAAATGAGATAATATCCACAAAGCTGGAACTGATCAGATATAATTTGAAACAGCTGAAAGAAGCCATTTGTGGAAAGGACAATGAAGTAATATCTTGACTATGGTCGAAGCTATAGCCACTAATCCGCAGGCTTATGATGGCTTCCATCTGTCTTGCTGGAATCTGGTGATGGGTGATATATGAAGCTGTCTGAATGCACTTCTTTTTGGGGGGGAGGGCAGGGCAGGCAAATGCTGTTTCTGTAGAAGAATGAATTTCATCTCAGTCTCAGGAAGAGCACATCTATGTCAGATGAAGATATAGACCCATTAGGCTTGTGGATGTTAGAACTATGACTAGGTCTATCTTCGAAGATTTGTGAGGTGCTCATTTTGCCATTTCTTTTGGACAAATTGCTCACACTGGAGGCAGTAGTTTGTTTGCTTATAATCTTGTCAAATATCCCAAACATGATCTTAAAAATAAAGATCAACTACTAGTCCTGATATGAGAATTTCCTGAGGGTATTGCCGCGATGTATAATTGCATCTCTACTTTGATGTACTGATGTAGACAGGTGTAGGCTCCCAAAGTTGCTATACCGAGGAATTGAATTGCCACTTGACATGCTTGATATTGAGAAGGATCTCCAGAAGAATAAAATGAAGACCTGCCACCACAAACACTGCAAAGAGAAGAGCTATGGCACAAGTTCATGGCATTGCCTCTAAGCCTAAAGCAAGAAGAAGAAGCATGAGATTAGCAATAGGGCTAAGCTTACAAACGCCCACCTTCTAGAACTTAAAGTTTTAGATTTATTTTTGGTTCAGAAATGTTCCATTATCGGAAAAGGGGCCGCAGCATTTCATCATCTCAAACGGAGTAATAGTCCCCGTTTTGTACAAGAGAAGCAAAGGCTTTCCAGATTCTGATATCAGGTGGTTTACCCTCCCGAGAATAGGCCAATGTTGCAACCCCACTGAGCACAGAAAACTCCGAATAAATGGCAAACATTTGTATTGCTACTCCATATTACCAAGACTAGTATGGATCAGTGCTCCTCAAAACAAGTAACATTAGTATGGATCAGTGCTAGGTTTTTGGCTTTCTATATTTGGAGGTTAGTGTTTTTATCCTTATGCATTGAAGTTTTTACTTGGTGCTAAAGGTTTGCCATGTGACCAGGAGGTCACGAGTTCAAGCCGTGGAAACAGCCTCTTGCAGAAATGTAGGGTAAGGCTGCGTACAATAGTCCCTCGTGGTCCGACCCTTCCCCGGATCCCGTGCATAGCAGGAGCTTAATGCACCGAGCTGTCCTTTTTTTTTTAAAGGTTTGCCACTACGTGTAATTGTGTAGGTTTTTGGACGTTCAACACCATTGCTATGTATATGTATATTATTTTCATGAGGTTCAATAAGTTAAAATTTCAAGGATCTTGTTCTTGATGCCATTACTTGGTCATATTAGAGTTTCAGAATTCAGGGAAGACTGTAACATGCGAATAGGCAAATTTATACCGACCAAAAATCAAGGCCCTAATTGATCCCCCTTTACTAGTAAGCAAACCTATTAATTCCCTTAAAATGATTAACATTTCAAACTTATTACATGAACAGATTATTGTATCATATATCAAAGCCTTAAGGACTTTCTTGATGCAAGTCAATAAAACGATAGACATTGTCGCGCCTTTGGTTCTCCAAGGAAAAGCTGTCCCTGCAAATGGTTTTAATGAAGTTAAGATATCCCCAATATTCTCATACTGAAGCAACTTAGGATATACAGCAAATTATGCAGATCACCTTGTAAGTTGAATCTTAGCATAATCAATCTCAGCAATTAGAACTGTTTCCTCGTGCCCTGTGGTTCCAATAATTTCACCCATCTGCTGAGACAGATTAGAGTGTTAGTCTTGAACTTTTGATGGCAACAATTGCAGATTAATGATACAGTTTGCTTACTAACATACTGGTCCAACCACAGTAGAATGACCCCATATCATGTAGCTACCAGCCGAGTCTCGACATGGAGAGCAAGTTGCCGCATAAAGCTATCACCAAGTTTCATGAGTCAATTCACAGCCTCTAACTTTGAATTTTATAGAGATAGAGTGTAGTTACCTGGTTATCGACTGCCCTGCAAAATCAAAAGTTTAAGTGAAATTTGTTACATATCAAATCTCAATCAACAAAATGGGATCCTTAAAGAGTACAAGACACTTTCTTGTATTGGGATTGACTGTGTTATTATGCATATGTAAGGGCAGCCCGGTGCACAAGGCATCCAGCGTTCACGCAGGATTCAGGGAAGGGCCATCCCCAAGAGGTGTGATGTATGCAGCCTACCCTAATGCAAGCATTAGTGGCTGCTTTCACGGCTCGAACCCGTAACCTACAGGTCACACAAAAACAACTTTACCGTTGCTCCAAAGACTGCCCTTCTTATTATGCATGTGTAATACCATTAAAAAAACAAGACAAGGACACTAGAAACTGCTATGATTTTGCCAAAATTCTTGCCTTGTTCTCTGTTCCAGTTCCCACAAAGCCTCCCCTGTACTCATGTTGAAAGCTCCAGGATAACAAATTAGATGAGCACCTGATTGTCACCAGCAACAAGTTTCTAGTAAACATGGACGATGGAGTATGTAGCCTAACAAGACTAAACACTAGTTTAAATATGAAAATTATCATTACCTCTTGCTCTATACAGAATCGCGAGCTCAGGGAAACGAAGGTCATGGCAAATTCCTATGCCAATGCAACCAAAATCTGCAGTAAAACCAAAGTTCACTTCCCCTAATAAAGAATGGAGGACTTCTGAAAGATGTATTACAATGTTCAAGCCCAACAGATCAAGCCATAAACTGTTGCCTACCTGTTTCAACGACGGTAGGCTTCTCTCCTGCTGAAAAAGTATCTGATTCCTTAAAGTGAACATCTCCTGGTAATGGCTTACCCATATCAAACAAATGTATCTGCAAAAACACACAGCAAAAATAACATTTCCATTTTCTTCTTCCATAATGAAGCTTCCTGATTCCAATTAACCAAAAAGAACTTACTTTCCTGTGCTTAGCCTTTAATTCTCCATTGGATCCAAACACACAGCAAGTATTGTACAATCTACCACTACTCGCATCCCTTTCTGGAATTGATCCACCTATAATGGTGACTCCTAGGGAGTAAGCCACTTCAGATAACATTAGAGACGAAGGCGAGCTGTTTATATCATTCAAGTTCTCGGCAAACTCTGCAAACAGATCAGCTGAATATGGGCAGTTCCACATTTCCTAAAAACAATTTGGTTGAAAATTCATCAAATCATCATATCTAACGTTGCTAATAAGCTACATTTAACACGATAGTCTTTCATTCTTGAATCTTGATCATATCTTTTAAGTACTTTTTACTAAGAAACATTCTTTACAAGATTAATTAGCGAAGAACATTCCAATGATACTCCTTGAATTTGGTTACTTAGAAACGTCCCTTTTGAAGGCAGAATTGATTTTCCTTGATACCTAACATAATGCATGAAAGGATCCTCGAATAACCATAGGGTAACCTGAAAATCCTTAGCAAAGACTTCTACAAGACGTTCTATTTTTCCATAGAAATATATTCGTTCAAGAAGGGCTCCAAAAGATGTTGATCGTAAATGAGAAGATTGATTCCATAGAAAGACGAAAGTGGATTCACATGATGATATTACTGAGGAACGTCTTTATCAGAATATTTTTGCTTCTCACTTCGGTCAGTTAGCGATAATTTTTCGCTAATACAAGTCAAAATGACAATTCACCAGAAAGTCTACATAACATAGTCTTTGCTCAACTCATCTTCCCGGTTATCCAGAATGATTTTAATCCACTTTCATAACATATCCAAATTGATAGTGTTCTTCAACTTTCACCTTAGCAGAAATGACAAATAAGGAAAAATGTGACTTATCATTCTGAAAATAATAATCAAGCGCTAATTTTTCTGATCAAAGCTCTATGCAAGACATATATTATCAATGAACAAGGACAAAATGGTTAACTTCCTAATTGAAGCAGGGGATAACTGGTGAAAAATATTTAAGAAGAAACTAGTGTATGCAGGTTAGTAAAAATAACATACACATGTATAAAAAAAAAAGGCAGCTTTGCACTAAGCATACGTAGGGTTCAGAGAAGGGCCGCATTTCAAGGGATCTGATGTAGATAGTCTAACCTAATGCAAGTATTAGTGGATGCTTCCATGGCTCGAACCTCTTACCTATACGTAGACAACTTTACCATTGCTCCAAGGTTCCCCTCGACCAAACAGTTCTAAATTTTAATAATCGTGCAAAGAAAACATTTGAAAAAAAAAAAGAACAAGAATGTACAGTCAGGATCAGAGTAGCAACAATATATTTATGTATACAAAGCCAAGAATTAAAGATTAAAAGGACAAAACAACTCACAGGCAATAGTATAAGGTTTGCGCCTTGTTCTGCAGCAGCATGGATTAGATTTCGAGCCTGAGAAATGTTGGCATTCTTCTCTATAGTAACTTTCAGCTGACAAATTCCAATCTTGAACTTCATTTTCCAAAACCCAAAAAAGCCACCAAAAAAAAAAAAAAGAAAGAAAGAAAGGTCTCAGATTCCAAAATAAACCATGTCAAGGTTTGAAGCTTTTTCATTCATGGGATTTTTAGGAAAAAAGAATCTAGAGAATAGTAGTAGTATTAGTTTAAGAAAAAAAATAGCAAAGCAAACCTTTGTAATTTTGGTCATTTGCAGTAAAGTAGATGCAAAGGACTATGCACTTGTTTCTGTGTTGGAAGGAGAAGTCAGGGGAAGCGGTTCCACTGCTGATTTTATCTGAAATTACCTTTCTGGAATCTGTCTATTTTTGTACTTACCTTATACTTTCCTCATTTGGATTTTCAACAAAAGGGCACAAAAAGTTGCCAAAACAAGAAGTTATCTTCAGCCAAAAATATTCATTTAAGGGCTTCCCAAGAAAGCACTTTCCAAGAAGGGTTTCCTAATTAAATTTTCGCCCATGTCTTAAGATAATATACTTTCAATTATACATTTTGCATATGAGATATTCTTTTTTAGTTAAAAATCAGATATGAAGTCTCATTAAACTACTTTCCATCAATTTTATGTATTGTTTCTATTTACTATTTCCATGATTATCACCACAGTAACATTTTCTAAAGCTTTAAGTTAATTTTATAATTCAAACCATAGGATATTGGTAAGTAGTTAGTAATTATTACCTTTTCCGTTTCATTTTATGTGTTTTTTATACACGAATTACAAAGTTTAACAATGTAATTAGGATATTTAAATTTTATGGTCTTAAATTTAAATGTGTGTCTAACATATCGAAAATATTTTTTGAATCTTGTGATCTTAAACATGCCGCATTAATCCTATAAGAAAATGCTACTAAAACTAAAATAAATACTAGAAATTAGGTGCTCTCTAGTTTCATCCTCACTTTCATACAGAGGGCATAGAAAATTAGTAACGATACCCTATTAAGTATCCTTATCTTATTACTTTTTCTTGTTACGGATTTTGATTAAATCTCCTATTGCTTAGGAGCATCTGTAGCATTAGTTATTATTTTGAATAAGTCTTCCTCCTAATTGTTCGAGAGAATAGCTAGCAATTAATTTTCTTAACTTTAGCTCTACATTGTTATTCTTTGGTATATTTATATCGTGATTGCTGAATTAATAAGTTCATCCTTTGAATGCTTTCCTTATCAGATTTTATATGGTATCAGAGCTCTCAAATGCTCTAACGAGTCAGATCCATTTTCTCTTCCCATCTATGGCTGCACCGGAAAATACAGTCACTCCGTTGTTATTAACTTCGATGATGCTATTGGTGCCAACAATAATGCATTTGTAGCTTCATCTACCACTCATGTCATATAATTTAATCTCGTTTCTTAGTTACCTATCAAACTACAAGTTAACCTCAACTTCTCAAACCTGAAAAGTGCAACTTGTGATGCTTAATATACCCCATTTGGCTAACCTACCCCTTGTGTATATTTTCTCATGTGCAACCATTCTTAAGACAAAAAGTCATTTAGGATATCTAAAGTTGTTAAATCACATACTATCGTATTGTACCATCAAATTTTATGTATTGATTCTATTTATTATTTTCATGATTATCAATGCACCGATATTTTTTAAATCTTTAAGCTAATTTTATAATTCAAACTATATGATATCGGTAAATAGTTAGTAATTAGTAACTTTTTTTTATTTTATTTATGTGTTTTAGTTTGATTACATTCGAAGTTTAAGAATGTAAATATGATTTTTGAATCTTATTATTTTAAATTAAATGTGTGTCTGTTGAAAATATTTTTTAAATCTTGTGATCTTAAACATATCATAATATTCCTATAAGAAAGTGTTATAAAGGTTAAATGAGAATGCTAGAATTAAAATTTATTAAATTAGAAATATGACATCTTTTTTTAAAATAAATTAAAGAAAAAACTAAAGCACATAAATTAAAACGGTAAACGATACTATGTAAAAAATGGTAAACTTGATACAATAATATATTAAAAGTGCTGCAAATTACATCAGTAGTAAGAGAATCGGAGTTCCCTTGAGTAGTAGCAATACCAGTAAGTGTATCAATATTACAAACATTGATTTTCCTCCTAAAAACATCTCCTAAGATGTATGCCCACATTGCCTTGTTAGCAAACACCGGAGGAACTGCCAAAAACTAAGTATTTTTAAAGCTTCCTTTTTTTCTCCTTCCTTCGCGAGGAGCTCCGTCACTTGGTTCTGCTCCCTGTAGCTATAGCCTATGGCTGGATTCCCCAGTTGTTTCATCATTGACCTGCAATCATAGATTATGGGGTTGTGTCAAACTATCATTTTTATCATGTTTATTACCTCAGTGGAGTCTGTATCAATCACAATTGGAGAGAGCATATGATCAATAGAAATTCTTAAGCCCTGCCAAAGCGCTTGAAGCTCAGATGTAATACTAATTGTGTTAGTTAAACATTTCATGTAGCCCATAACCCAGTCCCCTCTATTGTTCCTAAAGACACCCCCTATACCTCCCCCCCCCCCCCCCCCTTTCCCGATAGGTTATATGTACTTTGTAATATTTTGATGATCTAACAAACTTAATGACAAGAACCAGATAAGGAACCTGATACATACCTTCAAGTACGTGGGAATAACAAGTCTCAAGCTGGAGATGTAAATCAACTCTTCAGACAACAAAGAAACAACAAGGGGAACGGATGGACATACGTTCCCCTGGTGACCGTACCCAGTCAACTCCTCACAGCTGTAAAGTTGCTTCCTACACACGTAACAGTCTAAAAACAGTGCAGCAGTCAACATTATGGGGAATGACCTTTTACCTAACTTGCTTGCATCATTCAAGTGATGTCACAAATGAGTTATTTACATTAAGCAAAGGTAAAACAAAATACTTGCACATTCAAGAATCGATCAAGCACTCTCTCAAGTCTGTGTCAATCTTGCAAGTGATTCTCAAGGGCATCAAGAATAAAGAACAACATAACGAAGGACCATTTTCATGTATTGAGTCATTACATGTCCCTAGTTGTGTTTCACCTTTATTAAAGTTCTTTACTTGTAATTCCTACTTAGCTTAGTTAGAATTATTGTGTAGAAAACCTTTGTAAATCATAAACCCTTGTGTTTGTGTCTTGGCTAGATTTAGTAGAGTTGTAAGTCTTTGTAATAGAGTTATTATAAAGTGGCTTGTAATAGAGTTGTTACAAGTTAGTGAGGGATTAAGAGGTTAATTCCTAGGTTAAGTCTTTGTAAATAGAGTTATTACAAAGTGGCTTGTAATAAGAGTTGTTACAAGTTAGTGAGGGATTAAGAGGTTAATTCCTAGGTTACAATAGGTTGTAATCTAAAGTTTGCTCAGTAGTGAAGTTAAAATCCTACAAGGGTAGGTCGTGGTTTTTAATCCCGTGAGCTGGGAGTTATCAACGTAAAACTTCTCTGTGTCTTTTACCTACTGCAGTGTACGTGTGTTCTGTGGAAACTAATAGAGAACCTGGTTCTCTATATAATTTGGTGGACACTTAGTTTCTATCAATTGGTATCAGAGTAGGTTTTTTCTATTAGGCTAACACCTAGAAAGGATCCTCATGGCTGCTCCACCAAACTTTGAAGAAGGTCAATCTACCTACAGGCCACCAAGGTTCAATGGCCAATACTATGGTTGGTGGAAGACTAGGATGCACGACTTCATCATGGCTGAAGATTTTGAGCTTTGGGATGTCATCTGTGATGGACCTTTTGTCCCTACAAAAATAAGTGGCGACCCAGCTGTAACGGTTCCTAAAACAAGGAAGGAACAATTATGGTTTGTGGCATTGGTCATGATGAATATAACAGGATATCTACATGCCAATTAGCTAAGGAAATCTGGGAAGCCCTCCAAACAGCTCATGAAGGAACAACACAAGTCAAGCAATCAAAGATTGACATGCTTACAACTGAATACGAGCTCTTCAGGATGAAGGACGATGAATCCATTCAAGATATGCACACTCGCTTCACCTCCATCGTCAATGAGCTCCACTCTCCTGGAGAAATCATTCCAAGAAACAAGCTTATCAGGAAAATTATCAGTGTCATACCCAGCTCCTGGAAAAGCAAGGTGAACGCCATTACAGAGGCAAAGGACTTGCAGACGCTGACCATAGATGAACTTGTTGGAAATTTGAAAACCTATGAGAAGAAGAAGAAGAAGAAGAAGAAGAAGAAGAAGAAGAAGAAGAAGAAGAAGAAGAAGAAGAAGAAGAAGAAGAAGAAGAAGAAGAAGAAGAAGGAGAAGGAGAAGGAGAAGGAGAAGGAGAAGGAGAAGGAGAAGAAGGAGAAGGAGAAGGAGAAGCAGGAGAAGGAGAAGAAGCAGAAGCAGGAGGAGAAGCAGGAGGAGAAGAAGGAGAAGGAGAAGGAGCAGGAGAAGGAGCAGGAGCAGGAGCAGGGGGAGAAGGAGAATGAGAAGGAGAAGGAGAAGAAGAAGGAGAAGGAGAATAAGCAGAAAGAGGAAAAAAAGCAGAAGGAGGAGGAGAAGAAGAAGAAGGAGAAGAAGAAGAAGAAGAAGAAGGAGAAGGAGAAGAAGAAGAAAGAGGAGAAGCAGGAGGAGAAGCAGGGGGAGAAGGAGGAGGAGAAGAAGGAGGAGGAGAAGAAGGAGAAGAAGAAGAAGAAGAAGCAGGAGGAGAAGCAGCAGGAGAAGAAGAAGGAGAAAAAGGAGAAGAAGAAGAAGGAGAAGAAGGAGAAGGAGAAGGAGAAGGAGAAGAAGAAGAAGAAGAGGAAGAAGAAGAAGAAGAAGAAAAAGTAGGAGGAGAAGAAGAAGAAGA